TTTCGGCTTCTGCATAAGGTCGGGTAGACATACTTTCCTTCGTGTGCTTGTAGCCTACCGTCACAGTCGTGTCCTTCGGCATCTGCGCCTTAAAAGGCGGCTCCGTAAAGCTAGGCACCGGCCCCTGCGGCCCGGTCCTGGCCATGTGTTTTATCACTTCAGCCTCCCCTAGAGCCCCGGCGTAGACCGCAAACCCGGCGACCTCCCCCTGGTACCGCTCGGACGCCTGCCCCCAGCAGAGATCCACGCGGCCGCCCAGGCAGATCTTCCCTGTCGCTACTTCCGTGTTTATGGAGAGAAACAAGTTTGTCACAGTCACTAACTTGCAGGTTTTGCATTACAAATTTTCTCAGCATCAAAAACTTTCCTTGTATTGCAGAAATACTAGGGAAATCCCTAATGAAGTTTGGCTGTGATGCATTTTTACGCATGACAAAAAGTTTTGCATTGCAAAAATGCGCATGAGTGATCGTGACGAACTTTTTTTCTTTGATAGTGTTGGGGAGATTCGCGTTATCCGTGGTCCCCTCCTTGATCATCACACCGTTTACGTACTATCCTGAGTAAAAACGTCCCCATACCAGAGTCAACGTGGAAAATCTGCTAGACAAATCGGCCACCTTTGGTTGTCTCGCATGACAAGTTTGTCCTCGTCGTGTAATCCTGTTTAGCTAGTTCAGCAGCGTCACAGATCTAGCATATCATGCTATTTCTAGCATCACAAATCCCAAAACACGACTAGAAAAAGCTTCTCATGGGGCTCCGCATGAGAAACTTTTTTGGCATGCAAATTTGCATGACAACTCTGGAGTGGGGATGTTTTTACTCGGAATACGTACACTCTATGCTTCAGCGCCGCTTTGTCCCACATCAGCGCCATGTGGTACCACTCGTCGAGGTTTTTATCCGCGTCGTTGAAGTCGTAGAACTTCATGGCGTATCGAATGCAAAAATGTCTGGGTCTGGAAGATTGCGAGATTTGTCATGCTAGTCTCGCATGACTCTTAAATCTGTTATGCCCGTTTCCCAAGAGCCCCATTCTGCTGCCATGCAGAAACGCAGCTTGTCATGCAGAATAGGCAACACCTAGAAGCTCAAAAGCTTGTCGTGCTGAGCCAGCATCTGTGGCCTTTTCATGATACGCCACCCAGCATCACAAGTTTCCAGACCCAGACACTTTTACAATCCATATGGCGTCGCAGTAGATGTCTAAGTTCCACACGAAGTTGTCGGACACGAAATATCCAACGGAAAAATCCCCCCTCCCCATATCGAAATGGAAATCTGTGATGCAGGATTTGAGGTACCAAATCGACTTGTCATGCTAGAAGGCCAAGAGCCGCAGTCGTGGTCTCGTTTGCAGGCAAGTTGTCATGCTGTTTCCCACTCTCAGCTGCCTCCTATCATGCTGAAGATGCAAGGCTCCCCC